AAATTGGACGATCGGCTCTCGAAAATGGTGTCATGAAGACTGCTCGAAAGTTTAGCAAAGATCTTGAAAAAAATGTTTCTGAGAGTAGTGTTAGAAGCACGAGAGATTCTTATGTAAGGAAACAAAAACAAGATTCGAGTTCAATTGTCACAGCTTTACCGAAGGATCAACAGGATCAGCCACTTCTCATCGGCCGTTAGCTTGATATCAAGGCGCAGCAGTGGATTCGTAAAGTGCGTGTAAGTGGTGGGGTAATAAATACAAGAATTGTTATGGCTGCAACACAAGGAATAGTGCAAAAAGTCGATAGAACAAAACTTCAACAGTATGGGGGAACAGTAAACATTAGTAAATCCTGGGCGAAGTCACTTCTGAAGCGGATGAATTTTGTAAAGAGAAAAGACTCGAACAAGGTAAAGAAACTTCCAAGTAATTTTGACGATATCAATTTTGCGTTCCTCCAACGATTTAAGAATGTGGTGTCTGAACATGATATCCCGAATGAGTTGATTGTTAATTGGGATCAGACCGGTGTTAGTTTGGTTCCTGGTGGAGAATGGACTTTGGAAGTTACAGTGAATGGCATTGACGACAAGTGGCAAATCACCGTACTGTTGGCGATCAGTAAAGCAGGACATTTATTGCCACCTCAACTCATCTATGCTGGGAAAACTGACGTTGTCACCCAAAAGTAAATTTTCCCCGAGTCACACCACACCACACAGACCACTTCTCACTGGAGCAATGAAGATTCCATGATTCGGTATGCAGAGAAAGTAATTGTGCCGCAGTGTTCTCCCCAGGATGTAAACAGCATTGCGGTCCCGCCACAGTGCTTCGATTTGCTGCCACACCGGTCTGACAATGCCACGGTGATTAGCAAGACCGCCATAGTGCTTCTTTTCATTGGGGGATCTCGTCACGCTGGTCGGCCTGACCGGCACTCAAAATTAGCGACCACCACGGAAACGCTTCCGACTATTGTCATATTGTTATTATACTTACGTACCGACCGACACGCATCCTGCCAGTCGTGGATAATAATTTGTAAACAATAGACATAGTCGCGTGATGTGGTAGCGGCTTTGAACAATACAAGTCAATTTTGTAAAGTAAATACTTTCTGACAATAGACGCAGTCTTTAGTTTGAAAGCTAAAATTCTTTCAAAATCAATTCCACCCAATATAACATGGGCAAATTGGAGTTCACAATCAGTTTACGCTACTCAAGAAAAAACAACGTGTTTATTGCGTTATTGGGTAAAATACATTTGAACTGTTATCATTGCGAATCATGTAAAAACTCTTCTTTCAATACTTTTAAAAATTTCTAATCACCTAATTTCTAATCTAATAACCATCATGCAGTTTTCATCTGAAATTCATACTAACACATCGTGCTACGACATCGCTTTACTTCCGCAATGTAATTTTTATGATCACGATCATTCGGAAAACTTCGGGTTCTACCGGCATTACCATGCGGCATTTTGATTGGTAAATGGCGTTTTTGACCCACCGGGTCAAAGGACACATGTCGGTCAACTAATGCGTCATAACTATCATGGCGGGTCTGTGTTTTTCATCGAAGTGATCGAGTGATCAA